AAAAGTAATGGAGATATTGACCAGGGTTATGATATTTTGAAGAGAAGTTTTAGACCTTTACTAACATGCTCACTCTGTATAGGACAACAAATATAGTAATGAAAAGCATACAATTAAAAATTACGTTTATTTGTGTGATGCATTATCGCGCTCAATCTAATAATATATACTTTTACATTTGAAACGATATTAGTCAACCATGGATCGTTAATATACAATAAGGTTGCACTTAATTAATAATAGTACGTAGTACACAACATGCATCCTTGACCTAGCAAACCTAAGTACAAATTTCCATATACTTCCTCTATTAAATTCTTAAATTTGACGCCAAATATAGGCATTGAATTGACTATACATACAAGTATACAATATTATAGTCTGAAATTCAATGCACTTATTTTATTGAGTCAACGGCAGTTTAAAGAATTCAAATGAATTTGCAGCGGTTGGTGACTTGATTTTCCATGCACTTACTGAATATAATTCAGCTGGTATGCGTAACTTTCGTTGACCTTCATAAATTTGGACTCTCTCTCTCTCACACACACACACACACACACACAGATTTATAGTTGAATCACTCCATGTGAGAGATACGTGCACTTGACGCTGTTGTAGGTTTTCACTATAATGGAGAAGAAGAGCGCAAACTTTTCTCACACCTCTTCAATCCGTGTCTCAAATGAAAACATACTCTAGTAAATTCTTTGTATAGTAAGAAAATTATAGCGAACTGATACATGTAAGAATGCTCAAATACTCCCATTCTTTAAGAAATGTTCATATTGATGATTGGTTTCATTTTCTGTGTCAGTTTGATTTGACTCCTTACAGCCCAATAATTGTGTCTTTTTCATTCTACCATAGGGTCCTAGAATAAGATAGTTACTTGAGTTCCATTCTTCTAAAATTATTCATATGGACGATCATTTGTTTCCCTTATGTCAAGATGAAGACTCATATCACGTGTTTTCTTGTTTCCCAACCTGTACCCACAGACTATTTCCCAATGCACGGTGATACTTATAGGCCATCTGAAGGACAAAGCAATCAGCTTTTTACTGGAGTAATGACCTTCATGATGGGTATAGTTACAATGGTTCGCATGACAAATAACATGCCTAGGAAGCTTACGGATGCTACCATCTATTCTAGTTCGATGCACGATGCTGATTCGACTAAGACAAATCCTGCTATTTCCAGTGCTGATTTCTTGAGCATGATTAAACGCGTGAATGCACTAGAAGAGCTGGCAAATTTTCTCAGCAAGAAACCAATGCCTGCTATGCCACCTGAGAAGGAAGAAATGCTGAATTCTGCCTTGCATCGTGCTGATAGACTGGAGCAAGAGCTTGCAGAAATGAGAAAGGTATTCATTCCCTGCTTATTTCAATTTTCGTAATGATGCCATGTCACATTATGGTAAACCCAATGTTTCTTATGTCAGGCCTGAGCATTGGCTCAAAAAAGGTATAAGGGTTGATTCAAAATCAAACTGAAAGTTAAAAATAAGTAAGAGATATACAAACACAAGTTAAAATTTTATTAATATGCAGCATGATATATATATATATATATATATATATAT